CTGATCGATGTTTCTCTCTCATCGATGTTTCTAGCTCTCTATCTCTCTCCCTTCCTCTCTGTAATAAATCAATAAAATATATTTAAAAAAAGAAGAAGTTAAGGAGTTACTATTTATAGTTTAAAAGTTATAAGATACCACACTCTAAAAATATATAACCCAAGTTTAGGTCAATATGACAGATAGGTAAAGACAGTACTTGCATCCTCCCACAACTACATAAAAACCACAACTAACCTACAGAACAATCGTGACTGAGAACTGCCAGAAATCTAGCTGAATGGAAGTCCTACAACTAAGGATATAAAAGAAAAAGCCACATAGAGACTGGTAAAAGGGGTAGAGAGGAAAAACAGGCTGATCCATGACACATGGTGGATAAAAACTGGAAGGGATATCTCCACTGTGGAGGTCCTTCCTGAGGAGGGAGGTGTCCCAGCCCCACCAGGTCCCCCAGTCCAGGATTCCAGCACCAGGAAAAAAGTCCCCAAAACTTCTGACTGTAAAAAACAGTGGGAATTGTGGCTGAGGGAGACAAAGAGCTCCTGAAGTCCCTCCCAGGCAATTCCTTGGAAAAGGCCCAAACAAGGACTTCTTGGACTCATTGACTCTGAACTCTAGCCTCAGGCTGAAACTTCAAAGATGTGTCAGGGACATACCTGGAGAAGCTGAATTGTCTCCCTTTAGGGGCAGGGCTGAAGAGTCAGCTTTTTCCCAGACATAAGTGCTGGCAGCAGCCGTTGTTCCTTTGCTGAGACTTCTCCCCAAAGAGCCAGCAGGTGAGCCCCATATCTATGTCTCCATCAACCTAGCTCACACTGTTAGCCCCTTCCTAGTGATTCCCTGAGACTCAGTGCCATCAAACTTGCAGGCTCACCCAAGCCCTTTCCAGTGGCTTTTCCATACAAACAGTCTGTCTAGGCTCATGCTCCAAATTTTCCTAAAATCTCTCAAATGTTCACAAGCCCAAAACAAGCAGCATCTGGCCTCAGTGTGCCTCGTACCTCGTACTAAGTGGCCCCAGGTACAGCACTAGTGGTAGCCAGCCTTGACACCTCCAAGCCCAGCACAAGTAACAGCCATCTGCAGATTGCTTTGTACCTCATGCCAGATGGCCTTGGGCAAGGTACAGGCAAAAGGTGATCTTGGGCCTGCACCTACTAGAGCTAGCATATTTGGTGGCTAGCTTCAGAAGCATCACCCAACGACTTCTACCAGAGAGACACTCATCAGGCACCAGAGCTCTGATGAAGTGAGTCTTGCTCTATGGAGTTGGGCCCTGCACAGCAGATCCTGTGCTGTGGTTGCTGCCAGTCCTCACAGCTGATTGTCTTGGGAGTAAAACCCTCCCAATGATATGACAACAATAATCAAGGCTCAACTATAACAGAAGGGTGCACACAGCCCACAAGGGGGCACGCCTGGATAGCTTAGCTTGGGTGACAGGGGATGCTGCACCACTAGGCCCTACAGGACACCTACTATAGAGGCCTACTCTACCAAGACTGGTAGACATAGCAGCTCTACCTAATACATAGAAACAAACACAAGAAGGCTACCAAAATGAGGAGAGAAGGAAACATGTCCCAAACTAAAGAATAGAACAAAACTCCAGAAAAGCACTAAACAAAACAGACAAGCAATCTACCAGCTGCAGAGTTCAAAACACTGGTTATGAGGATACTCAAATATTTCAGTGAGAACTTCAACAAAGAGATAGGAAACATTTTTGAGATAGACAACATAAAGAACCAGTCAGAAATGAAGAATGCAATAACTGAAAGGAAGAATACATTACAGGGAATTAACAGTAGAGTAGATGAAGCAGAGAATCAAATCAGGGATTTGAAAGATAAGAAAGCAAAAAACATCCAATCAGAATAGCAAAGAGAAAAATGAATCCTACCCCTCCTCCCTGCCGCCCCCCCCCCCAAAAAAAAAGTCAGGACAGTGTAAGGAGTCTCTGGGACAACTTCAGCTTAAGTTCCTTGATTCAGCTTATCAATATTCCCAACATGAGGGTACAGAAGGAAAAGAGAGAAAGCAAGAAATTGAAAACATATTTGAAAAAATAATGATGAAAACTTCCTTGACCTGGTAAAGGAAATAGACATACAAGTCCAAGGTGGATAGTGCTTTACAACGAGCCCATCACACAGCACAAGGACTCCACAAATGTTTAGGGGATATTTTTATACACACCTTCAAATCTGAGTCCAAGCTGAGTGAATCAAATATATTATGTGCCTTACACACACACTCACACCACTGTTATTTGTTCTAAGATGAGCCTAAATAAAATAGTCACCAAAATATTGAGGTTCATAAGTATATTCCTTAAAACATGACCAGTAGAATAAATATAAAAAAGAATATTCACCTCACTAAAACAAAAATGAAAATTAAAACAGGATTTTTTTTCATCCATGAAATTAGCAAAGATTTTAGAATTATAAAAATGTCAGGGCTGGGCAGAGAAAGTCAGGTATTCTCATCTGTAGTAGTAATTGATGCAATGTTTCTAGAAAACACTTGGGAGTACGTATCAAAAGCCTTAAAATATCTCTGCCATTTACAGTTTTACATATCCTTAGCAGCCTTATTTCCCTAGTATTAAAAAAAAAAAGAAAAACTGGAAACATCCTTAATATTAATCAAGATGAGTATTGAATAAATTACATGCATCTGTGAAAACAGAGCAGTGGCAGCTATAACAAGATTTCTGAAAACATAGGTGGGGGAATCACTATGTACAAGTATATAAGCTATACGACCCCATTTTGGTTTTTCTTTTTTTAAGAAAGATAACAAAAATATATAGAAAAAAGACAGAAAAGAAAGCAGAAAATTCGCTACACTAGACCAATAGTTTATTTCTAGGTTGTGGGATTCTAGATTATTTTTTATTCTCTATAACTTCATATATATATGCACGCCTAAGCGACCGCCTGACCAGCCAACCATTTGACCAGACAGTAGCTATGACGCACACTGACAACCAGGGGGCACGCTAAATGCAGGAGCAGAAACCACAGGAATGGAAACATGGAACAGACTGATGAATCTCAGAGGGAAGGGAGAAGTGGGGGAGGGCAGGAAGAAATTAACCAAAGATCTTATATGCATACTAGAGGCCTGGTGCACGGATTTGTGCACTGGTGAGGTCCCTCTGCCTGGCCTGCGGGAATTGAGCTGAAACAGACTCTCTGACATCCCCCAAGGAGTCCCAGATTGCGAGAGGCTGCAGGCCAGGCCAAGGCACCCCACCAGTGCACAAATCTGTGCACTGGGCCTTTAGTATTTATTGTATAAGGTATTCTAAAGTGATATGTATTACATTTTTAGTCAGAAAACAAATTTATAAATCTTATTTTGTTAAAACATTGCTGGCAGCCACAC